GTTCCTTCCTATTCTGTAATCTCTCTCACCATGCAGACGCACCCCCCTTTAATCTACAGGCTACTAATCGCACCCTTTTCTCACTAGAGGTCTCCATATAATCAAAAAATCTATCTATATCAGCAAGTTAATTCAGAAATTCTTCTATACCCAGACTACCATTAAAATAAGGGATATCGACTTTCAATTTAAAGTCGTTACCTTCACGATCGTCATAGCGTTGTCGTCTTCCATCTCTCCGATCATATCCTCCTTGAAATCCTCCATGACGACGTCTGCCGCCATAATCAGCACGTTCCTCATCAAAAATTTTAGTTTCTTCTTCTTCCAAACTCTTTGAAAACAGAAGGTTATTCTGCCTGCGGACAGGAACATGCCTATCAACAGGATCACCACGAGCAAGATCTGCACCCGGCCTTCTGTCGTTCTGCCGATTCCGGTTCACATCAACGCCGAGACCTTCGAATCGTTCTGTTAACTCGTTAAATCGTTCTTCGAAATGACGAAGACTTTGATCGAATCGTTGATCCAAGCGTTCCATTAAACGCTGTTCCAAACGTTGCAGCGCGTCGTCCCCAAGGGTTGGGGCTCTAGTCTCCTGAGCATCGTCACGAAGACCACCGCCAGTCGCCATAGGCTCTGATACCACCTGACGCAACGTTCAGTGAATAATTCAAGCAAAACCTTGCTTAGAGAGAAAAATCTCGAAATTCAATATTGATGATAATAATGTTCTCTTTTCAAAACAAACCCTAAACACCCTTTTATAGGGGTTAAACCTAATCATAATAGGAAAGTTACCTAATCTGAATTGGAAACCTAATCATAATAGGAAAGTTAATAAGCATCAAATAGCAAAATTACAAAAACGACCCTTAAAATTAACTCATAAAAAAATACTAAAATAATAGAAAAAATACTATCTAATACCATTTGGCTTTCCGTTTGGACTTTTGTTTGTCCAATCGGTCCAGAAACGCACCACTAATAAATTCCGCATCAATCCTACGTGACACGGCCTGCACTAACGTGTACATTTTTAAATAATTTTTTGAACTTTTTTATAATTATTTATTATTTATTGTTTTTTTTTCTTTACTTTGATTTTTTTTACTGAGGACCAGCGGCCCTTGTTGTGGCCGGGGAGTAGGGGTGATCAGTTTCCGAGCGGTCCAATGAAACCGGTCAAGTTCAAAGGAAAAATGCCTCGCTCTCCATCACCGAGAAATCTTTTATCGTCCAATAATTAACTAGTGACGACGTACTGCGCTTGTTGAGCATAAACAGAACTCAAGAGAATAATTCGGTGGGTCCATTGAGTTCTGAACATCTTTGTAAGACATGATGAGGGAGATGATGCCAGCAAACGGAGTTTGATAGCTCTTGTCTCACCTTGAAAGGCGCTTTGTCTCTACTCCTGTGTATTCATATGCAAGCGTGACCTTCTATCATCATCTGTCTTTGGCTGGTGTGGGATTTTCAAAGCACGTGTCTTACCTCTTTGATTTATATGAAGTCTTGAACGATGAGATCCGGGTCAATGTTATTTCGACCAGTTTTGGGTTGCCCACCTTAAATATCGACCTCAGTCTCTGTTGTCTCTCCTCATCTCTAGCGTCACTTTTTGATCATTTGTTAGCAAGAGCAAGTTGGCTTCGTTTGGCTGGATTTGGAGCATTTAGAGGACTGAACACTCCCTAGTCCCAATCAAAGTATGAATTGAGGAGGCATGCGTGAGATATTTAAAAAACAAAACAATCGGTCCAGTTCGGCTCCCCCCTTGGAACTGGAAATTGGACTGTCCGGACACCAGTTTCACTTTTAGGAACTGGGAACCGGGAACCGGGAATCGGATTAGAATTTTCGGTTGGTCCGGTCCGGGCGATTCCTACTTCGGTCAATCCATCTTGTTCATCCCTACTAAGGATGGCAAGTGGTCCCTGCGCCCTCGCTAGATTTGGGCCAAGCGAAGGTGTCGCGGCTCTTGCTAGCCTCGAGCGAGGCCGCGGTACCCATATTAGGTGAGGGCTTGCTCTCGCCCAGATCCGGTGATCACCGGCCCTTAGTTAAAAAAAAAAGAAGTAAAGAAAAGATAAAAAAGATAAAAAAAAATTCAAAAAAAATTATTAAAAAATGTCCACATCAATGCTTTCCAAATTTATTTTCGATCTCACTCGCGGGTCTTCTAGAACGTTGAGTCAGATGGGTTTTCTAAATGAATTGGTTTTTCATCACAGGGGCAAACGACTGGAAGAGATGCGGTAGAGGAGATACGGAGGAGGAAGGAGCCAAAAAAATTCATTCTCAAGGAAGGAATTTTAAAAGGATATTCGTGTTCATTCTTTCTCAATATCACCATTTTCTGGCGATTGGAGATCTTCCTTTTGTTTTTTTTTTTCATCATCTTCACCCATCATAGACTCCAGATCCGAGAGACTTCTTCATAGATGTCACAGAGCAAGAATATACACAAAAGGTAATCTCGTAAATTTTCGAAGGGAAATTGTCCATATATAATAAGTCATGGAAGCTTGATAATCATCTCGGAAACTCCTGGTATCACCTTTTCTCCGTCCATGCCAAGTTTTGGGAGAACACAGGGAGTGCTTTGCTCTGCCCTTTTCTTGACTGTGGAGACTCGAAGTTATTCGAGTCCACAGCTTCATAACCGTTGCTCATCTTCACAATTGATGTTTTCCGAATCTTCCTTGCGCTAGCTGGACTAGTGATTGTAGCTGAGAACATCTTCTCAGCTGAAAATCTTACAATGCCTGGGTCGTGCGATGAGGTTGCGGAACGATGAAGGGAAAAAAACGAGAAGAGAGAACATAAAAAAGCAAAAAGCTTTTGGATGAAAGTGCCTCTGGCCATATAAAAATATGATTGGTAGATCAACTTATTTGGTTTCATCCACCTCGTTCATCAAATTTCACATCACTCGGCTATAAGTTTTATATGCGCTGTACGCAAACAAAATTATTTTTGGTGGGACTCGGAATTAGCTTTACGTGCCTTCTGAATATATGTGTATATAATGTACTTTTGAATTTCTAAATTAATTTGATGCAATTATTGACATGTGGGCCCACACGTCCCCATATTTTTTTTTTTGTCAAACAAACGTACCCATCGTTGATGCCTCCCGATGTAAGCATATATGGAGATGAATCTGAGAGAGGCCATAGCCGGATCGGGCACCGCGTGTCCCCACCGGAGCAGGATTTGGATTGAACCACCAATGGTGTATTCCACGAACTAGGGATCCGGACCGGTTGGTCCTAACTATGTGCTCATATATTTTCCACAATAAACAAAAATTAAAAAGCAGATTTATATATTGCAGATCAAAAATAATAAACTAAACCCACCAATCATCGAGAGATAAGGATTATTTTGCAAACATGAATGATCAAACATCAGTAATGATCCTCAAATTGAAAAGACGAACCAAAAAACGTACTTCATTTAGGGTTTAATTCACTTTTAACTAATTTTTTTTGAAGTAATATATATATTTATATAAATATAGTCGGTCCAGTTCCCTTTTGAACCAGGAACTGAACTATCAGGATACCAGTTCCACTTTTAGGGAGCTGGAATCGGATCCCGAGAACTGGACCAAATCGGGCGGTTCTCGAATTGAGTGGTCCATTTTGCACAACCCTACCACAAACCCTCCGTAGCTCATCCCCACGACATCCATCTTCTTCACATCAATTGCCTCCATTAGAGCAACCACGCACTGGGCTTGGAATTGCTCGCTCCGCTCGTGCCTCATCCTGTAGAAGTCGGCGAAGTAGACGTACACGATGATGCGGGCAGCAAGCGGGAAGACGAAGTCGTTCCACCACCACATTCCGTTGGCTCCGATGCTGTGGATGAGGAGGAGGTTGGGCCTCACCAGATTGGGAGTCTTGTGGACCCGACATTGCATCACCGTGCCGTCACCGAAGCGGCCAGGTCGGTGACGGTGGACTTGACGCCAGACTTGCGAGAAGGAGAAGCGGAGGCACTAGTCCCTCGTCGCCGTGAAGCTAAAACACCTGGCCATTGGACTGAATCTTAAAGCTTGATGCTCTTTTTTGCCTCTGCCTCTCTCCCTCTCTAGAAGCAGAGCAACGGTGGTTTATGCGAGAGGTGGGTGGCGACGCCGTCACTTCGTGAGTGCTGATTTCTGGATAAGAGAGGTGTGTGTTTTTGAAAAAAATAAAAATAAAAAGATAATATAAGTGCCATAACTTTTGTATGGCGCTCACTTAAGTGTCATAATTTTTTTTATCACTTGAGTATCATAATTTTTGTATGGCGCTCACTTGAGTAGCATAATTTTTTTCTGATCACTTGGGTGCCATATAACTTTTTAATTAATCACTTTTTTTTGTCGAATTCAATTGATTAACTGAGTCCCACAACTTTAAAAAAATATTCACCACAAGTGCCATGCCATGTCAGATTTTGGACACTTGGATGAAAGTTTTTCAAAATCTATGGTACTCAAATGATCATTTCGAAGTTATGGCACTCAAATGAATATTTTCTAGAAATTATGGCATTCAAGTGAATGCCGTCCCAAAGTTATGGAACTTGCGGTATACTTATCCCAAAAAAGATGAACATGAAAAGAAGCAAGAAGAAGATGAATGGTAATCACCAAAGAAAAACATGTCAAAAAAAGAGAAAGTTTAGAAAATTATAAGAAAAAAATTGTGGAAATCCTATATTTGTGGAAAAAAAGAGAAAGTTCAGAAAATGTCAGGAAATCCTATATTTGTGGAAAAAATTGACGGAGAAAACAAAAATAAAAAAAAAGCGACCATACTATGTAGGACAATCGGGATGAGTGATCTGCCATATTAACATTTTTAGAAAAAAATTAATCTGAAGAATTATATTAGAATTTTATGAAAATGTTTAAAATTACATTTGCAAAATTTAAAAATTTCAGACAGGATTAATATCCGCCCAATAGATTTAGGATTCATTTGAAATTTTTCCGCCGGTGTGAATAGAAAGTCGGAGTAGATAAACATAAAGTAGCATAGAAGCTACTCTTCCTGACACTTGTATGATCAAGAAATTGTCCACATACACACATTAGAGATGTTGTCCTTATTGGTGAAAAATAAACTTCTTTGTCCCTGAAACGACAATGCATGATGAACATCTTACTGATAGAAGAAAGTTGGACTCATGCTCCAGGAAATAAGAAGCCATTCACGGTGAACCCTCCATCAACACAAATAGTCTGCCCTGTTATGTAAGAGGCCGCCGGCAAGCACAAGAAGGCCACTAATGACGACACCTCCTCTGGCTCTCCAGTGCGGCCGAGCGGCGTCCTTGCTATCACCTCCTCGTGAAAATTCTTGTCACCAAGTACCTGCGACGACAGATGCTTGACGTCAAATCATGATGGCAAACATGGTCAAGATCTATGAAGTGAACTATTTTCGAGCATGAGCGAAAATTCAAAGCCTTAGAAGATCAAATTACAAGCTCGGCTAGTGGAGTCAGTATGAACCAAGGTGCAACAGAGTTACTCCTTATGTTGTCCTTAGCCCATTCGCATGCCAAATTTTTGGTCAATTGGTTCATTGCTCCTGCCAATCAATTCGGATACAAAAACAGAAAACAAACGCACTTTGTTTAATTCCATATTAACAGTGTTTAGATAGTTACTTATGAAAATTCACATTTACCTTTGGTGGCCGAGTAAATTGATCCGACGTTCACTGAAACAATGCCGCAAACGGATGATAAGAACACAATGCTTCCAGCTCCCGAGGCCTTCAGAAGGGGATGCGCGAGCTGGCTCAGATGGTAAGCCGATTCGAAGTTAGTTGTCATGATGAAGGAAAAATCTTCCGCTGTGTAATCCATGGTCGTCTTTACAATGTTGGTCCCAATGTTGTTTATCTACCACAAATGAAAACCACGAACAAACTTTATTGAAAGATAAGCACAAACCACAACCTTGTTATTAATATTGTTATTGGATCCACGGGGTCAAAGACGACTTAGACTTACAAGGATGTTGAGCTTGCCATCGAAGAGGGGTGACACGCTGAGCATCAGCTTCTCTTGCTCCGATTTGGAGGAAACGTCGCAAGCCGAACCCGTGACTCGAAAACCCTTGCTCTTCCAATCTTTCAAGCATTCATTAATTTCGGCTTCATTTCTAGAGCAGGTATACACGGTCGCCCCAAGCCTCGCTAGTTCCTCCACAATGGCATGCCTAATCATGGTACAACAACATGATTACTCACCAACTCGTGATTGCAAACAAGAAAAGATTAAGCACTTTTCTTTTCCATAAGAAGAAATTCCATGTGACCAGACCTTAGGACATGTGATACCCATCAATATGCGGATGATTTGGCCGCATCGCAGTTGAAGTCAAACCAATAATTAAAGCCTTTGAATGCACTGAAGTTTTATTTGGGAAATCACAAAAGGAGAAACTAATTCTCTTAGGTAATGCTACGTCAAATGAGTTATCAACGTCTAAAGGCTACAGAACTTAAAAAGGTAACGAATGAATCGGTGACCCAGCGACGACATCCTCAAAGTAATTAAACTCACTAATCATGTCTCTCGTCGTTTTTATCATATAAAGTTTTAAGTAGAGATGATATCAATTGTCTAGGCTTTTTATCCACGGATTCGAACATTATTGGATTCAGAAGCATCCGCTATCACTTGCTCGGTTAAAAAATTCTTGATGGTTGGAAGTGTTGGATGTTTGTTCGTAAAACAAACAAAATAATGCTCTTTCATTTGTCCCACATAGGAAAGTTTTGAGAAAGTGGGCTGCTTTATAACTGTGAATATCTTCTTGCTCCTTAGAGTGAAGACAATGGGGTGTGTGCTAGTCCACACAATGCCCGCGTGCGGATGCGCGATTTTGGCGCAAAGGTTGTTTTTTGTTTTATTTCGTAAGGTTATCTTATTAATTTTTTATTAGTTGAAAGGTTGTTTTTTGTTTATTAAGTAATTTTCGAAATTATGAAAATTCGGAATTATATATTTATTTATTTATTTATTTTATTCCGAATTTTACATGTGTCTTTCCAAGACAACTTTTGGAGATTATACTTGTTCAGTTTTCAATCTTTTCCGAAGGGTTGCATCTATTCAGTTTGCAACTTCTTCCGAAGGAATATCTTTGTTAGCTTTGCAACCTTTCGTGAAGAGTTGCCAATGTTCTTTAAGACCGATTTCTATATATGTCAGTTTTTGGCAAGAAAGAAAATAGAGATCAATTTCTTCAAGTCTTCTTTCGAAAACTACAGCCATCATTTCTTTTGTTTCCTAGAGAGACCCTGGAGAAATACTAGAATTGCTATCTAGTATTCTCATTTTGAGACTTTGTTGTATCCTGGAGGATTTTTGCCGGTGACCATTAGCAACAATTGTAGGGCAAATAAATCCTTAAGGAAAGTGATATCACGCCTCAAAGTCCGACTTGATTGCTCTTTTGATTCGAAGCCATTTTATTTTTTACAACAGGAAGTCCGGTCGACACGCTCTAGTCAGAACGATTTTTTTCGAGCCCAAACATGATATAAAAAAACCCACTTTAAAGTGCTTAAATTTATACATCTTGGCTCGATTTGTTTTGGCTAAGACTATGCCCGGCCTAGACATTCTAGGCTGAATTTGTTCTTGCTGGGACAAGAAGTACATTGACCGCGGATTGCCCTAGTTAGTGCATAATCTTACTGTCGCTCAAATTATTATAGAGGAACGGGATTTCAAGATTGTCACGATGTTTTCTCCTCCAACATAAATCATAACGGATGATCGATCATCTAAATCATTGATATAAAAGAACGAAGTGTCGGGTGAGAGAGAGTGATAAAGAGAGAGAGACCCGATTCCTTTTGTTCCACCGGTGACAAGAGCCGTCATTCCCTGAAGCGACCACCTGTTTTCGTTGTCGCCGATGCGGCTGCTACCTCTACTCGCAGTCCCATTCCCCTCTTGAGCCATTCTCTCTCTCTTTTGGAAATGTGATTCTTCCCCTAAACTCTTCTTTTTTTCTTTCTGGGTCTAATACGTCTCTCTGACTCCACCCGTGTTATATTAGTCGGCAATTGGCAGAGGACAATTGTTTATTTTGTCTTTTGTATCAAGTGAATCAATTGTTTATTTTGTGAAATCTTATACGGGCTCCATACATAGGATTTTGTTAGATCAATAATTGTCGCGCATTGGTGTTATTAAATTCGAGTCCAGACAAGAGTTCTCATCAATGATGAGTCTTAGGCAAAGACTTTATTAGATGATACACGTAGATTGAAATCGATAGCAAGCTAATGGAAATGTGTTGGTACCGGTAAATCAGCTCTTGTGCATTGGTTCGGTGAAAGTCGCCTTCGTTTCCCGGATAATCAACGACTAAGAAAACTGTTTTTCTTTTTTGACAGTTCATATTGCTCGTAAAACTGAATGAATGAAGATTACTTCAACGGTTAGCAAAAAGTTATCTAGGCATGAATCGTTATTGATAACGAGGACATTTTCTTTTAGCTAATTTTTCTTAACGATACAAATGATTATTTAGGAAAAACTTGTGGCCACCTTTCACAAGGACAATTACCAAAAAAGTCTTAAACCTATTACACTTATATCAATTCAATCTTAAATATTTCAAATGTGCCAATTTAGTCCTAATCATTTTTACATTTTGTCAATTGAATTCATTCGGTCAATTTTAGCCGCAAATTATTGACGGGGATGCCGGCCATCCCACATGATAGGGCCGGTGTTGACGTAATTTTTTATAATCGTTTTTTTTTTGTTTTGTTTTGTTTTCTTTATTTTTTTTTTCGACTAAGGACCAGCGGCCCTAGTTGTGCTCGCGGCCGCAGCCCTTCTCAATATCACCATTTTCTCGTGATTGGAGACTTTCCTTCTTCTTTTTTATCATCTTCACCCATCATAGACTCCATATCTGAGAGAGACTTCATTTTAGATGTCACAGAGCAAGAACATACACGAAAGGGAATCTCGTAGATTTTCGGAGAGAAATCGTCCATAAATAATAAAGTCATCGAAGCTTGATAATCATCACGGAAACTCCTGGTAGCGCCTTTTTCTCCGTCCATGCCGATTTTGGGAGAACATAGGGAGTGCTATGCTCTGACATTTTTCTTGACCGTGGAGACTCAAAGTTATTCGAGTCCGAAGCTTCATAACCGTTGCTCATCTTCACAAGTGACGTTTTCTGGATCTTCCGAGAAGTAGTTGGACTAGTGATTGCAACTGAGAACATCTCAGCTGAAATCTTACAATGCTTGGGTCGTGCAATGAGGTTGCGGAAGGATGAAGGGAAAAAAATAAGAGAAAAGAAACAAAAAAGAAAGGGAGTAAGAAGAAAGAAAGAAAAAGAAAAAGGCTTTTGGATGAAAGTGCCTCTGGCTACGTATGATTGGTAGATAAACTTGGGGCCTTATTTGAGATTGGGTTTATCACTCCATGTCTTTATTTAAGCCTAAATTGTTAACTTCGAGACCTTATTTGAGACAACGTCCACTTTGAATCGTTTTTTGAAAAAATGACTCCACTTCATACCTTTATTTAAAATTTTTCGCTTTTCCAATGAAGAAAAAAAAAGAAGCGTTGTCTCGTGACGGGATAGGTTCCCCCATATACGTAATGCAAGTGTGCTTCCACCTAAATGAGGCAATCCCAGCAGTCGATCTCCCACCAAACGACCCTCTCTCCTTCATCGAAGCCAACCATGTGTGTCCGCTCTCTCTCATGTGTGGCCCAATCCAACATCTACGACGTATTAGAGAATTTTCCTACGGAACAATCACGTGATGAATGAAAATCTATTTTTGGGCCAACCTATGTGAAGAATAAGATGACTGACCACGACAATTATATATAAGATATCCCACATCGCTATACTACAGAATTTATATACTCTTCATGTACAATTCCTTTCACCTATTAATTTAAGCTTTTAATTTGGTCATTTTAATATTGTATCATAGTTACGCTTCACGTCAACTTATTTCGTGCGTGCATCCACCTAAGCTAGAGGGTTTATCCGCTCTTTACTTAAATAAATTTATTTTTAGTGGGATTCGGAATTAGCTTTACATGCTTTTAAAAAAATATGTAAATACAATATACCTTTGAATTTATAAATTAATTTTGTGCAACTATTGACATGTGGACCCACACATCCCCATCGTCCGTTGATGCCTCCCGTTGTAATCATACGTGGAGATGAATACGACAGAGGCCATCCCTGGATCAGGATCCACGTGTCCCCACCGGAGGAGGATCCTGGGTGCCCGACCCGTTAGACACGGTTCGTTCATTCTCATAGTTTTAATGGAGTATTTCCGGTTAATTTTCGTCTAAAAATACTTATGTAATGATCCAGTTATCATGAATCGTCTTAGGTAACATAATCGGCGATATGACAAGGACAAAATAGTGTTATTTTTATCTCGTTTTCTGAACTCTCTTTTTTGTTTCCTTTGTGGGTGTGGTTCATCTTCCTTTCCTTCTTCTGTTCATATTGTTCATGTCCTTCTCCAAGCACACCCTCGCGCAAATCATCACCATTTCGTCCACCCTCTCTCCAAATTGAACCCCCACGCTTTACGCCACAAACCCTCCGTAGCTCATCCCCACCACATTCATCTTCTTCACATCAATTGCCTCCATTAGAGCAACCGCGCCCCGGGCTTGGAATTGCTCACTCCGCTCGTGCCTCATCGTGAACGAGTCTGCAAAGAAGACCGAAGTCGGGGTCGTACACGATGATGCGGGCAGCGAGTGGGGAGACGAAGTCATTCCACCACCACATTCCATTGGCTCCGATGCCGTGGATGAGGAGGAGGTTGGGCCTCACCAGCTTGGGAGTCTTGTGGACCCAACTGATAAGAAAGAAAGATTAAAAGAGAATGGTATTTGTTTTCTTATAATGGTGTATGAAACAATGTACATGAGAAGCCTTTATATAGGCTTAGAGGAGTAAAGGAGCCTAGCATTCTTCCTATGTGGGACCAAAGAGAAAGAAGAGATGTAAAGGAAAACCTACAAAACTATACAACATGTTCTAACACCCCCCTCAAACTCAAGGTGGATCAAATAACGAGAGTTTGGAAAGAAGAAATTTAAATCGTTGTGATGTAAGAGCCTTCGTAAAACAATTGGCAAGTTGATTCTCAGTTCCAACAAAAGGAAGTGAAATAGTGCGAGCTTGGAGATGATGACGAGTCAGATGACAATCGATCTCAATATGTTTGGTACGCTCATGAAAGACTGGATTTGCACCGATATGAATGGCACTCTTGTTGTCACAATGCAGAGGAGTATGATCCAGAAGTGAAACTCCCATATCAGCAAGTAAGCGGCGAAACCAAACAATCTCAACAGTAGTGTCGGCCATAGCACGATACTCGGACTCTGTAGAAGAGCGTGAGACAATATGTTGTTTCTTGGAACGCCAAGAAATAAGTGAATCGCCAAGAAAAATGCAATAACCAGTGATAGATTTGCGATCATTGACATTGGAAGCCCAATCAGCATCAGAATAGGCACGTAACTTGAGAGCAGAAGAAGATGGTAGAAATAAGGAGCGCGATAAAGTGCCTCGAAGATAGCGCAGAATCCTTAGAACAGCTGCATAATGAGTTGTTCGAGGAGCAATAACAAACTGACTGACAACATGAACAGCATAGGCGATATCGGGTCGGGAGATAGTAAGATAAATAAGACTGCCAACCAAGGTCCGATAGAGGGTGACATCAGAAAGAGGTTCTCCATCGTCTGGGCAAAACTTCTTATTGAGCTCAATAGGAGTGGCAGCAGTACATAAATCTGATAGAGCAGCCCTGGACAGAATATCAGCGGTATATTTCTGCTGAGAAATGAGAATACCACGTGAACTACGAGCAATCTCAAGCCCAAGAAAATAGCGCAGTGGTCCTAGATCCTTTATGGCAAAATGTTGCTGAAGGTGCCGCTTGGTATGCTCAATATGGTCATGATCATCTCCGGTGATGACCATATCATCAACATAAAGAAGAAGAATAGTGCAGCCTGAAGAAGAGGTATGAACAAACATAGCATGATCAGCCTCACTTTGAATGAAACCAGCAGACTGAATAGTATCACTGAACTTCTCAAACCAAGCACGAGGGGCCTGTTTGAGACCATAAAGAGCCCGTCGCAAGCGGCAAACCCGTCCGCAGGTATGAGCAAGACCAAAGCGGAGGTTGCATAAAGATATCTTCCTCGAAGATCACCGTGAAGAAAAGCATTCTTCACATCAAGCTGAAAGAGAGGCCAACTGCGAATTGAAGCAACAGCTAATAAAGCACGGACAGATGTCATCTTTGCTACGGGAGCAAAGGTCTCCTCATAGTCGATACCATACTCTTGCGAGAAATCTCGAGCAACCAGACGAGCTTTGTAACGCTCAATACTGCCATCAGAACGAGTCTTAATCTTATATATCCATCGGCAAGATACGAGGGAGCGACCTGGAGGAAGAGGCACAAGCTCCCAAGTACCAAGATTTCCAAAGCCGAGAGTTCTCGTACATAGCCTCGGCGCCATTCTACATGCCGAACCGCCTCGCGATAACTATTAGGTTCTTGCACAGCATGAACAGCAGCTAAAAAGGATCCAAACTCAGTAGAATAAGAAGTAGCAGCAACATACCGGGTAGGTGGACGCCGATCTCGAGGAGGATTACGGCGTGGCTCTAGTTGTGCAGAATCGTCGAGGGCAGATACAGCAGGAGGTGCAGTATAAGGGATAGGTGAAGATGGAGAAGGTGGCAATATATCTAGATCCGATGTAGAAGAGGGACTAGAAGGGTCAAGTAGAGGATCAACAGGAAAATCCATAAATGGAATAGGAGACGAAACATGAGGTGTAGTATTTGTCGGAAAGAAAGAGATGTGTTCATGAAACATAACATCACGAGAAATACGTACACGTCGCGCATTTGGGTCATAACAACGATAACCTTTGTGCTCAGTGCTGTAACCCAAGAATGCACATGGGATAGAGCGAGCGGTAAGCTTTGCACGTTCAGTGAGTGGAAGAATGACAAAACAAGTACATCCAAAAACTCGAAGATGATTATAGCTAGGAGGTCGAGAGTAGAGATGCTGAAACGGGGTGTCTTGATGGAGAACAGATGAGGGTAGGCGATTAATTAGATGAACAACCGTGAGAAGAGCCTCAGCCCAGAACTCAGTGGGAACGGATGTGCTAAGTAAGAGGGCACGAGTGGTCTCTAGAATATGACGGTGCTTGCGTTCAGCAACTCCATTTTGAGCTGGAACCCCAGGACAAGATAACTGAGGAAGTGTACCATCACTAGCTAAGAGGGAACGAAAGACACCAGAGAGATATTCTCCCCCTGAATCTGAACGGAAAACTTTGATTTTTGTATTAAATTGTGTGGAAACCATGGAAGTAAAAGACTGATAGATGGTAAAGAAATCACTACGTTGACGCGTAAGATAGACCCATGTATAACGAGAATAATCATCAATAAAAGATACATAATATTTGAAACCACTCTTGGAAGAGAGCGGGGCAGGACCCCAAACATCAGAATGAACAAGATCGAAGATCGCACTAGTTCTAGAGTTACTAACAGGAAAAGGCTTAGCAGATTGCTTGGCCAAAGGGCAGATAGAACATGGAGGAAGACTACCGGAAGAAATAGGACCCAAAGCACCTTGATGGTGAAGGACGATGAGACGAGAAGACGGAATATGTCCAAGACGCTGATGCCACGGAGCAAGATCGAGGGTAGCCAACACAAGATGAGGAAGAGAGGAAGTTGGAAGATGGAGATGTTGCATAATATAAAGTCCATCCCGTCTACTGCCCCTGCCAATCATCTTGCCACTCAAACGATCCTGCACAAAGCAAGAGCTATTTGTAAAGCTTACAGTACATCCAGCATCGGTGAGTTGTCCAACAGATAATAAATTGAGAGCCAAAGAGGGAACATGTAACACATCAGGAACATTGAAATCTTTAGAGACGGTAAGAGTACCCTGTCGGATAGCTAGTAAAGGAGAACCATTAGCAGTAAAGAAATGTGCTGGTTGCTTGAGCTCAGAGAGCTTAGTAAGAAAAACAGCGGAAGTAGACATATGTCTAGCAGCTCCTGAGTCAAGTACCCAAGTAGTAGAAATATCACCTGAAGGTGGAGTAGCTGCAGCGATGCTTCCAGCAGATGAGAGAGATGTAAAAGTACCAGAATCGGGAAAAGACCTGAGTAGAGAAGGACTCAATCGGGCAAGTTGGGCCTCAAGAGCAGCAATACGGTCATCCGTAGAGGGAGAAACCAGAGTAATAGGTTGAGAGATTGGAGATGCGGTAGTGACTCGTGGTGATGCAGAAAGGCGTGAAGCATTCCTCTTCTTCCAACAATGTGACTTGTCATGACCAGGACGATGACAATACGTACATGAAAGGCGGCGAGGACCACGAGTAGGCGAAGGACGTGGTGGAGCAGCCAAAACTGTAGGCAGAACATGTGGTGGAGCAGCCAAAATAGCAGTTGAATCAGGAACTGCCGAGGAGGAAAGAAGACCAAGACGAGTTTCCTTAGACTGTAATTCTTTGACAGCGTCAAGGAGGGATGGTCTTGGAGAGCGGTGAAGAAGTTGGCTGCGAACACCTTCATAAGGAGAGCCGAGCTTCATAAGAAAAGAATGTAGACGGTGCCTATCTTGAGTCTGAAGCCGAGTAGATGGACACCGAGTACAGTTCAGGCATGATGGGCAGAGAATAGGAGCAAGAATATCCAGTTGACTCCAAAGTGAGTGCATGTAATTGTAGAAATCTCGAATAGAGCGAGACCCTTGCGTAGCACTGTAAACTTCTTGCTCCAACTGATAAACTCGAATGTCTCTTGTCTGGGTGAACATCTCGGCAAGTTGATCCCATAAACTTTTCGCCTCAACAACATTAGAAAATTGTGGGCAAAGAGCAGGATCAATGGAACCAAAAATGATAGCCCATGCCTTCCGATCAGCAACTTTCCATGCTCGAATTTCAGCGGCACGTTTCGCAACTTCATCAGATGAGTCACTTTTAAGAGCACCAGGACAAGGACAAAGTCCCTCAACATGCTCAAACAAGTCGCGGTAAACAAGTGCTGCCATTGCCGATGGTTTCCAAAGAGAATAGTTTGAACCATCGAGTTTGACATCAATACAGTCACTAGAATCACCCATGACGACAGAAAAAGAAATCACTAGCAAAGCTAGAAATATGGATTGAGGTGATCGAAAGGATCGAGAAAGAAGAAGCGCGGATTAGAACGAGCAAGGATGATGGCCCAAAAGCCCTAAACTCATTATCTTAATTTCTGATGCGAAAGATCCAATTTATGGCAACCGCAGAGCATACTTTAAAAAATAATGAGCTCATTGTCTTAATTTCTAATGCGGAAGATCCAATTGATGGCAACCGCAGAGCATACTCTTCAAGACAATGAACCTGGCTTTGATACCATGATAAGAAAGAAAGATTAAAAGAGAATGGTATTTGTTCCCTTATAATGGTGTATGAAACAATGTACATGAGAAGCCTTTATATAGGCTTAGAGGAGTAAAGGAGCCTAGCATTCTTCCTATGTGGGACCAAAGAGAAAGAAGAGATGTAAAGGAAAACCTACAAAACTATACAACATGTTCTAACACCAACAACATTGCATCACCGTGCTGTCGCCAAGGTCGCCAGGTCGGTGACGGTGGACTTGACGCCAGACTGCGGGAAGGAGAAGCAGAGGCACTAGTGCCTCGTCGCCGCGAAGGTAAAACACTTGGCCATTGGACTGAATCTTAAAGCTTGATGCTCTTTTTTGCCTTTGCCCCTCTCCCTCTCTGGAAGCAGAGCAATGGCGGTTTATGCGAGAGGTGGGTGGCGACGCCGATTTGCAGAGGCGTTCGTGAGGTGGACATATTTTTGTCTACCTTCAAATTGCGGGCCGTCCAACAATTGTGGAAAAAATTGAGGGTGAAAATTACAAAAAAAAAAAAAAAACCACTGTGCCGTTAAGGTAAACTGGCTACGACTAACTGCCACGTTAACATTTTTAGAAAAAATTGGCCGGAATAACTTTATTGACATTTTTTACGAAAAGCAAGATTACATCAACAAAATTTAAAAGTTTAAAACTAAATTGATATCTTTATAACAGATTTAGGATTAATTTGAAAAATTTTCGACGAGTGAGAATAGAAGGTGGGAGTAGATGAAAGTACGAGTAGCATGGAAACTACTCTCCCTTATACTTATGTATGAACACGAAATTGTCCACGCACACACATTAATGTACATAGATGTTGCTATTATTGGTTAAAAAACTTCTTTGTCCCTGCAACGACAATGCGCCATGAACATCTTAGAGGCAGAAGAAAGCTAGACTTATGCTCTCGGAAATAAGAAGCCATTAACGGTGAACCCTCCATCAACACAAATGATCTGCCCCGTTATGTAAGAGGCAGCTGGCAAGCACAGGAAGGCCACTAACGATGACACTTCCTCCGGCTCTCCGGTGCGGCCGAGCGGCGTCCTTGCTATCACCTCCTCATGAAACTTCTTGTCACTAAGTACCTGCGACGAAATTTGAGTTAACATTAGATCATGATGGCAAACATGGTCAAAACCTATGTAGTGAACTATTTTCGAGCAGGAGAGAAAATTTAAAGTCTTCGGAGATCAAATTACAGGCTCGGCTAGTGGAGTCATTATGAACCAAGGTGCAACAGAGTTGCTTCTTATGTTGTCCTTAGCCCATTCGCATGCCAAATTCTTGGTCAACTGGTTCATTGCTCCTGCCAATCAATTTGGATACAGAAACAGAAAACAGACGCAATTTGTTTAGCTCCATATTTATAGTGTTTAGATAGTTACTTATGATAATGTTTATTTACCTTTTGTGGCCGAGTAAATTGATCCGCTATTCACTGAAACAACGCCGCTGACAGATGACAAGAACACAATACTTTCAGCTCCCGAGGCCTTGAGAAGGGGATGAGCGAGCTGGCTCAGATGGTAAGCCGATTTGAAGTTAGTTGTCATGATGAAGGAAAAATCTTCCGCTGTGTAATCCACGGCCGTCTTTTTAGTGTTGGTCCCAACGTTGTTTATCTACCACAAATGAAAACCAAGAACAAAATCCATTGAAAGACAAGCGCAAACTGCGACCTAGTTATTAATATCGTTATTAGTTCCACGGGATCAAAGACAACTTAGACTTACCAGGATGTTGAGCTTGCCGTTGAAGAGGGAGGACACGGTGAGCATCAGCTTCTCTCGCTCCGATTTTGAGGAAACATCGCAAACCGAACCCAAGACTCGGAAACCCTTTCTCTTCCAATCTTCCAAGCATTCATTAATTTCGGCTTCATTTCTGGAGCAGGTATACACGGTCGCCCCAAGCCCCGCTAGTTCCTCCACAATGGCATGCCTAATCATGGTACAGCATTATGATTACTCACCAACTTGTAATTGCAAACAAGAAGAGATTAAGCCCTTTTCTTTTCCAGAGGAAGAAATTCCACGTGACAAGACCTCAGTACATGCGATACCCAGGAATGTTAAGTGCGGAAGATTTGGCTGCATTCGCAATTGAAGTCAAACCAACAATTAAAGCCTTTGAATGCACTGGATTTTTATTTGGGAAATCACAAAAGGAGAAGCAAATTCTATTAGCTAATGATATCTCAAATGAGCTACCAATGTCTAAAGGCCACATAACTTAAAAAACATTAGGGATGAATCAGTCACCCAGCAATGACGCTTTCAAAGTAATTGAGCTCTCTAATCAAGTCTCTCGTCATTTCCATCATATGGAGTTTTAAGTGGTGATGATATCAATTGTCTAGCTTTTTATCTGTGGAATCGAACATTATTGAATTCAAAAGCATCCGCTATCACTCGGGCGGTTCAAAAAATCTTGATGGTCGGAAGCCGGTTTGACGCGCTCTGGTCAGAATAATTCTTTTGAGGCCAGATATGATGGAATAAAGTGCTTAAATTTATCCATCTTGGCTCGATTTGTTCTGGGTAGGGTTGTGCTCGGCCTTAAAATTCTAGGTTCAATTTGTTCTGGCCGGGACAAGAAGTACCTTTTCCCGAGATGGACATAGTCAGTGCACAATCCTACTACTATCACTCAAATTATTATTGAGGAACGAGATTTCAAGATTGATGATGGTCTTCAAATGCCTAAATCATGATGTTTTCTTCCCCAACCTAAATCACAACAGACAATCAATCATCGAAATCATCTACACAAAAGAACAAAGTGTTCGGCGAGAGAGAGAGACCCAATTCCTTTGGTTCCGCCGGTGATGAGAGCGGTCATTCCCCGAAGCGACCACCTGTTTTCGCCCTCGTTGTTGCGACTGCTACATCTACCTGCAGTAGTCCCTTTCCCCTCTTGAGCCATTCTCTCTCTCTTTCTCTTTCTATGCACTCTTGTTTCTTTTTGGGTCTGATGCGTCTCTCTAACTCTCCACCTGTGTTATGTAAGTCCTTCACCGGTTGAGAGAGAGACGGCAATTGGAAGAGGCTTCCTGACCACACAAATATGGTGGACAGACCACTTACGTACGGTCATAGAAGTCTGCAAACATAACTGTTCATTTCATGAATCTTACGTGGGCGCCGCATGATAAGATTTCACAAGACCAATAGTTGACGCATTGCTGTTACTATGTAAATAGGGGTTCCATGTATCGTTTCGCCCCTTGTGTTCGAACTGATTTTCAGTTGCTTTGAGTTTGAACATTTTGATGTTTATCTTTTGCCCTTGACGTTTATGATTTGACTTACATATTTACTAATGAATAACCTGACAGTGTAAAAGTATATCGGTAAATATTAACGTCTAAGGTCATGTTAAATGTTTTGATTATAATTTTTATTAGAAAATTTGCAATTACTAATTTGAGAAAGCCAAAAAAAGAAACTAAAAAGTCCTAAATAGGATCTAAATATATCTAATATAGACAAATTTTCAAATAAAAGCCCGAAGTGGAGTAATTTTCTCAAATGAAGGCCCAAAGAGGATTTTATTTCAAATAAAAATTCGAAGTAGAGTGATTTTCTCAAATGATAGCCCAAACTGGACTTTGTTTCAGAGAAGGGCATTTTTCGGCCCATATGCTCAGGCCCTTATTTGAGACTAATTTGTCCACTTCATGCCATAATTTGAAATTAATTTGTCCACTTCATGTCGTTATTTGAAATAATACTCACTTTGGATCATTTTTTGAGAAAATCATCTCAATTCAAGTTCTTATTTGAAATTTTCCTAATAATATATTACCCAAAAAAAGAAGAGTCACTTGTTACACGAGCTAAATCAAAAAGATTATGGCTGGGAGAAGTTGCCGAAGCTTGTGCCCAATGACCACAGTAGCGTAGACAACTCACCCACCACCACTCGAGGCCACATAATGCTGCCAGTCAAATCAAACGATGGGTCGGAGTCCAAAAGGCAGCGGCCCAATTTCAAAAAAAATCATTAACTTTACATTTTGTCCCAAATATATCATGAATTTTTTTTTATCTCAAGAAAAATCACAAACTTTTATCTAAGTCCCAAATCTACCCTCCCGTTAAAAATCCGTCCAAATCCGTCAGAAAAAAAAAAAAAAAAACAGAGAACCGGCAGCTGCGGCGGTGGCCAAGCCTTCGCCGGTGGCCGCCGCCACAGCCGTCGGGAAAGAGCGGCGGCCCATGCTGTCACGCCCCGCACTCCTCGGCGCGCCACATCCCTCGCAAAGGTCGATTCGTGTGCGACGTCCCAGGACGCGTCGCCGACCCAACACCCAACACAGAGATTTAAAGCACATGCGGAAGTAATTAAAACCACCCGTACATTAAAATACACCTGACCAAGGATAGCCATACAACAACCAGCACGGATAATTATACACTTGTTTTGACATCGGGAAACATATACAATATTCATATACAGCCCACACTCAATAATCAAAAGCGGGTACGTGGCTCGGCGATCAAACACTATATCTAGCCGGGGCTCCTCCCAAAACGTTTCAATACGCTGCCATCCTCAAGGCTGGGGGTCTGAAAAATTGGGTTTCAACAATAATGAGAATAAATCTCAGCGAGTAATTCCCTAAACCTAAATTAGGCTAAAGTGCACCTCCTGACGAGTACTAAATCAATACACCAAGCAAATCATAATTGACTTAGGCCCTCGGGCCCAAATCCAACACTCACATTGTCCCGCATGTTAGGCACTTACAGCTCAAGCATAAAACATAGGACCCAATCGCAAAGACACGTACACATCATTTGGTCACAACGCATATCATGCTTATGCTCGTGCTCATACGCGTGCTCACGCCTCATCAATGCATTTTCGCACGCTTGCACTCAAAGACACTTGCCATTTATCAATTTCTCCTCCGACCCGCGTTAAACGCATCAGGTCCGACCCGCGTAAAACGCATCAGGTCCATCACTTCGAGATCGATCTCTAGCCCGCGTAAAACGCATCAGGTTTGGCCATCTTCCGGTAGTCCGGGCATCGTCCCGCGTAACACGCCTCAGGACGGGTTCACTACCCCGCGTAAAACGCATCAGGGTTTATTGTGATCACACATTCACAAGCACCCATTTTCATCTGAACCCCGCGTAAAACGCATCAGGGCATTTTAGGTGATCACACACTCATGTCATTTGTGCACACTCATATATGCACATGCCATGCCAATGCTCGAGATGCACACCCATGGCCATGAAGTTCACACTTGGGCACTCACGAATTTCACAATGAGCATTCAATTGCACAACGCCACTTGTTCAATTCACAACACAATATGCTCAATTCAATGAATCACAAGCCCAATCAATCAATTAATTCAAATCAGCCATGGTACATCATCGGTACCCGAAAATCACGCAATATGCTCATTCCACATTTCAATATGCCCAACCAACATACTACACAACCATGAAGACAAATCAAGTACTCTGGCACGGCACGAAATTCACACATATAAGTCACGCGATTAGCTCAACATAAATCCGTGCAATTGAGGCTCGCCAAGCTACTCCACTCTTAGCCACATTAAACATGTCACGACATTGCCGAATCGCTCCTAATCGAGGACAATTTAATCACTAACTCGGTCTGTCCGATAATTCCGCCAATTACACTATTAAACCTCAAATCAACCGCGCCTCGCACCAATACGACCCGGCCATGGACAGCCATTAGTCCACTAATTCTAGGCCATTAATTATCCTCGAAATATTCCATCAGCTCTCCAGAACGCCACTCAGATCAGCCACCACAAAGCTAAATAAAACGCACACTAAAATCCGCAATTCAAGCCCGAACTCTCCCGAACTTGGGCTATTCCGATCCAAATCTGTCTAGTCAATACTCAGCGCCTCTCGGGCCACTAAACCTCCATTAATTCATCACACTAATCCCGTAGAACAGCCACCAAAACAACCACCACAACAGCCACCACCCGGTCTATCAATTTCATCCACTAAGTTCGCCATTTTGTCTAAATCTCGGCACCCATGCTTCGCCACATCACAGCACTATACGGGCCGCTAAACCTCGACTAAATAATCATCCTTGATCACCAAAAACACCACAAATTCAGCCCATATCACCCTCCACCATTTAACCCCTTAAAAAAAACCGTAATTAATCCCTAAAACCCATCTAGAAATGCAAATTATCCTAATTAGGGTTTAGGGTCAAACTCACCGGATGTCCTAAGCTTGAAACGGGTCGAACACGCGACGAAAAGGGGCTGGGCAGCGGCAGTCCCTCGCCGGAACAGTGGCGGCGAGCGGCGACTCCGGCAAACGGCGCGAACGGCGGCGACGGACTAGACGATTCCACGGCTTAGAGAGGGGGAAAGGGACACGGCCAGAGAGAGTGGGACGGCTGGACGAGGCTGGGTGAGACGGTGCGGGGCGGCGGAACCCCCCGGCGGCGGCGGCGAAGCTCCTCCGGCGAAGGGCCTTCCACGGCCAAAACAAAGAGGAAGAGAGGGAGGAGTGATGGTTGTGGGTGGAAGGGCTGCCCGCTGAGGTGAGAGGGACGGTGGCCCACGGCGACGGCACCGGCGACCTCGCGGCGGTGAAGGGGCGGCGCGGCGAGCCGGCGAACACGGCGGCCGGCGCGAAGGGCAAGATCGGCGAGCTGCTGTCATGCGAGCGAGGGAGGAGAAGACGACTTGGCCGGCGGCGCGGCCGGCGGAGGGCGCGACGACGGCCGAGCTTGGCCGGGCGGTGGTGACCGGCTGGAGCGGCGACGAGGCCGAGCTCGTGCGCTCGGGAGGGGAGGAAGCAGCGTCGGGCGGAGCTGCCGCGCGGCGCGGCGGCGTGACGACGGTGCGAAGAGGACGGCGGCGTCGGCGGCTGCTTGGGCGGCGTCAGGCGATGCTGGATGGGCGGTCGAGCAGCAGCCGACGAGCAGAGTAGGAACGAAGCAGAACCAGTCGGGCTGAAGGAGGAAGAAGAAAGAGAAGAGAGGAGAGAGAGAAGAAGAAAGAATGAAAAAAAGAAAAGAAGGAGAGAGAGAAGGGAGTGGGTGCATGGCTGACATGCAGACGGGACGTGACCGGGGGAGAAGACGTGCATGGCTCGGGAAAGCAGAGGGAGAAGGAAAGAGAGAGAGAAAAGGACAAACGTGCGGGCAGGGGGGTTTTCGGCGTGACAGAAGGAAGGGAGAGAGAGAGAGAGAAAGAGAGAGAGAGGGGGAGAGAGAAGAACAAAAAAATAAATTTCATTCAAATAATAAATGCGATCCGATGGCCCAAATTCAAAATCGAAAACGATCGGCCGGTCTAAAATAAGCCTCGAATATAAAAAGGGACAAAGGCCAAATTAATTAAATCAAACTATAGCGAGGGAGGTTTACTAGTCCAAATTTGCACCTGGTTAAAAACTCCCATTTTTCCATTATTCCTGACAATCTCAACGTTGGCCCCGACCATATCGACACCGTCCAATTTATTTCGTCCCGAAACTTCCGAAAATCGACTGCCAAGTTCAGGATCTAAATAACGGCCAAATTCGATCGAGTGCGATTCTAGCGAAATCTCTATTTTAAAATGATAACCGGGAGTGATCAGTTCCCGGGCGAGATTTTACTATAAACACACTGACAAATTACGCGTTTTATAAGTCCCAAAAATGGGCCGAAATTCGGGATGTCACAACTCTTCCCTCCTTATAAAAATTTCGTCCTCGAAATTTACAATCCAAACTCGACTACTCAAACAATTGGGGGGTATTGGTGTCGCATCGCCTCCTCGCTTTCCCATGTGGCACCTTCTGTCCCATGATGTTCCCAGATAACTTTGACCAACGTAATCGTCTTGTTTCTCAACACTTGTTCCTTTCTGTCCTCGATTCGCACTGGCTTTTCCACGTACGACACCCTATCGTCCACGTCTACCACCTCATGATTTAGCACGTGGGTCGGGTCCGGTTCGTATTTCCTCAACATCGACACGTGGAAGACGTTATG